GGTGTCTGGAAATTGAATTTGGCTCTCCTGGAAGATGTAGAGGTAAGACAATCCTTTGAGGATTTTTTTCAGGCACAGGTTTCTATACTGGACTTTTGCAGCAGTAAGTCAGAGTGGTGGGAGCTTGTGAAACAAAGGGCGATTGGACTTTTCAAGGCCATAAGTAAGAAGAAGCAGCTTGGTATGTATATTGCCTACCAGCATTTACGGAGAAGTTTGATCGTATTGTCTCGTATGGAGGAGATCCAGGGGAGATTTCTGAAGTGAAGCTTCTTCTTAGGAAGTGTCAATACAACCGGCATGCCTCCTTGGTTCTGGAGAGGGATTATGGGAAATATCACTCGCCTGATCCTTACCAGAACTGTAAGCAAGGCATAGCAGTTAAGACGGTCATTGTCCTGAAAGACAGTACGGGTTCCCTGATAAAGTCCAGATCAGGGATCTTGGAGATCTTTGGGTCATATTATGCACACCTTTTGGAAAAGAAAGGACCTTTGGCCAGGACAGGATGGAAAGCTTTCTGGATTCTACTCCAGGATTGGGAAATGGTACATTGCTTTTGATGAATTTGACAGAACCAATTTCAGCAGATGAGGTGGTTCGTGCTATAGACAAGCTGGCTACCAAAAAATGACCTGGGCCAGATGGATTGACAGCTGAATTTTACAAGTGTTTTCAAGTCCATTCTGGCTCCCTTTGTAGCGGAGGTTTTTAACAGCTGTCTAGAAGAGGGTTCGCTCCCTCCCTCCATGAGGCAATCCACTGTGATTCTTCTGTCAAAAGGTAAAAGACCCCTCAATGATTGAGAACTGGCACCCCATCAGTCTTTTCAATGTTGATAAAAAGATCTTGGCAAAGATTCTTTTTTGGCGCTTGTCATCAGTAGCAGGCGATTTGTTGTCCAGCCATCAGCACTGTTCGGTTCAAGGTAGAAGTACCTTTTCAGCAGTTTTGGCTATCTGGGAGGCTTTGGAGCGATGCAGGGCAGCTGGATGGAGAAAGTACTTGCTGGCATTGGATCAGGCAAAAGCTTTTGATCGAGTGAATCATGAATATCTGTGGTTGCTACTTGGTAGATACGGCCTGCAGGGGAGGTTTACAGATTGGCTGAAGACATTATATAGAGGGGCTGAGAGCTTCCCACTTGTTAATGGTTGGGTTGGATGGCCTTTTGAGGTCGGCTCTGGTGTGTGCCAGGGATGTCCTTTGAGCCCCCTTCTATATGCTTTCACAATCGACTCCTTTGTAAGAAGGCTAGAGAGCGCATCGTTGTGCGGGGTGCCTCTGGGCATTGCTGGTGCGCCGCCTTTGAAGGTCGTGGCCTATGCTGATGATGTGTCTGTTCTTATCTCTGGGACTGAGGAGGAGCAGGAGGTGGTCTATGTGATACAGCAGTACACGGAGGCTTCTGGCTCTAAAGTCAACCATGAAAAGAGTGAAGTTTTCTGGATGGGTGAGAAGGGTGAAACCTTCAAACTTCCGGATGCCTTCCCAGAGCCCCAGCAGGAAATTAAAGTTTTGGGCATCAAATTTGGTCCTGGTGACTATGGTCATCGAAATTGGGAAAGCAGGTTGGTAGATGCCAATGCCAAAGTGGCAAGCTGGAAGAGATGGAGGCTTTCCTTGAGGGAGAGGGTTGACTTGATCAAAACGTACCTGATCGCGATCTTTTTATATGTCAGCTTCATCTGTATCTTGCCGGTATCTCTCTATGCAAGGGTCCACAGCTGTTTTTTCCAACTGTTACGGGGAAATAGGCTGAACCTGATCAAACGCAATGTAACTTACCTGTCCAGGTGGGAGGGTGGCCTAGGAATGGTAAACCCGATAGTTTTCTTTTCTTTGCTCTTTTTAAAGTACAATCTTGGTAATATGTTAGCAGAGACCCCGCCGGGATGGGTGGGTATTTTTCAGTCTTGGTTTAAGCCTTTTCTGCATTGCTGGGAAGATGGCGGGCCAGTGAAAAGTCTGAGAGTCCGACATAGCAAGCTCCCGGCTTATGTTGCCCCCATGTCTGAAAATACTTTGGCAGTGGCTGGTGACAGTGGAGGATATCCAGTCCTTTCCCATGAAGGTTCTGGGGGGCAGAGGATTTTGGCTGCTGCTTTCAGTGTGTCACTGGCCTTAAAGGATTGCCCAGGTTCTGTAATGAGGGAGGGGTTGCATTTAATTAACTTGGAGAGATTCCCTTTGAAGTTTAGGGATCAAGCCTGGCTCGCTTTCCATGGAAGGCTCTATGTGAGAGGGAACCTGAAGCACCGCCCTGTGAATGATCGGGATTGTCCTAGAGCGTAGTGTGTTGGTAAAGTGGAGTCTATGGACCACTTTCTGCTCCAGTGTCCCTTTAACATAGAGGTGTATAAAAGGGTGGGGAGGGTTCTCGGCATCCCTTTTCTCTATCGCATGAGTTATGGAGAGTGGGTGTACGGGGCATTCCCAGCTCGCTGGGACTTTGATTTGGATACTTTTTTTTTAGCTAGTATAGTTTGTGTTACTTCACATGGAATGCATGGATTCAGATTACCCTGTGGAAGAAAGTCCTCTTTGTTGAGGTGGTGGTGCACGATATTCTGGGTGAGGTTGGGAAGATTCAGGGTCTTGAGAAGGGCAGGGAGCCTCGAGCGGTCTGGATAAGGGCGTGGAGGAATATCAGACCTACCTTTGGTGAACTGTCCATCTCTGGGTGAGGGGCTCTTTTCTTATGCTGTTCTTTTCACTCCCTTAGTTTTTGTTGGTTAGGATCTTCTTTTTGAAGGAGGGCTGCATGCATAATGGAGGCAGGGTTGTTTCTTCACCTCTCAGGTTTGATGTCTGGTGTAGTGATGTGAGCGTTGTAAGATATATTTCCCCAGTTATGACGTTCATTTCTGAGAGATTTGCTTTTGTCAGACAGCAGATTTTGCTATATTTATTTTCATTTTTGTGTAATGTTGTGGACTTTTAAAATTATTTTTCAAAATACAATGTTCTTCTGACAGCCAAGCAACCCAGCCTAGCCGTATATTAAGGGTTAACTTGTCTTGGTTGAAAAGTCTAAGGACTCTAGTTAAGAAATGTACATAATGAGTGAAGTGAGTTTTTTTTACAAGACAATAGATTGTTTGGACTGTAAATAAATACTGTTTATATATTGAGGTTGAGTGGAAGACGTATACAAAAGTTAAATAGACAGCCAAATAAGACTTTAAACCTTCAAATGTTGAATCACCACACCAACAAGTGAACAATAGATGAGACTATATTAATGTTTGAGAAGGGTAAACAACCCTTGAGGAGAATGGTGAGATATCAGTCTTTTCAAATGGTCTTTTCAAACTACAAGGACACCTGGTTGTTGCCTATCATCTTTACAATGGACAAACATCAGTTTAATGTGTCACTCTTAAGACTAAAGGTTAAATTCAGGACATTTTAAGACTAAGAATTGAATATATCTAACCACAAAGATATTACTAAAAAGCATAGTATCTATGGATGTTATAAAGAATATGTTTCACACACCACAAAATATTCAGCAGAATGGGGATTGTATAGCACTAACTTGAGTATTGAGATGAGGAAAAAAAGTAAGATATATTGTGAGTTCGCATCAGTTGTATGTCTTATCAGGAAACAAATGCTTTCACACCAGCTTGTATCTCAGAGATGAATAACCGAGTATACACATATATTCCATGGTTCTTATTTAGAACATTATAGCTATGATCAACTATATATCTGGATCAGACGTATATTTAATACCTAAAATCACCTTGAGTTCCACCCGAGGTATGAGTCATCATCAATACTCAAATTGTTCTATGGTACAAGACCGCCACCTGGCAGGCCGGTGAGAAATAGCTTATGTACATACATTTCTCAACTAGCCAATCAAGAAGCCTGGTGGGAGGGTATCTTAGAACAATAGTTTAGTTGGTATAAAAGCCCATGCACCTTATTTAGAAAAAAAAAGACCCTGACTAAAAAAAAAAAAAACCTGATTAAGAAAAACCTCACTAGAAGAAAATCTGAAGACATCTGAAGAGACAACTCTGCTGAATAACCCCTCTTCCATCTTTTCAAACTTTTAAAAACTTTCTCCTAAACTTCTAAACCTCTGAATCTCTACTATACTACATATCTATCACTTGCCCCTGTGGCATCATTCTGAAGGCGTTCCATTGCCAGCTGAATCCACTGGGAAGTTTCATAGTCTGAATTCCGGGTGTGGTGAGACTGTCCATTTAATTTTGCATTGCATATTTTATCTGTTGTGTAGAGTAACAAGAATTACCTTAGTGTATCACAACTATATTGGGTGGTTATATATATGTAGAGAGATCTGTATTACTGTTAAAATTGTTTGGTGTCATATTCCAAATTTTTCATATTTCATAATTTATTAAATATTAATAATTAGAGTATAATTTATCAGAGAATATCTTCTTCCAATCCTATGGCCACGGTTTGTGAGAATATAACCTCTGAAATACTCTAAATTATTAGTTATTAATAAATTTAATTTTTAATAATCATTATCATTTCGAAGATTGTTATATTGTTTCCCATTATTTAGAAATATTATTATTGTGTATGATATTGGTAGGATATATCTTTGACCGTGTGTATCAATATTCATTCATCATCAGTCTTTTGCGTTTTGTGTTAATATATATATAATTTTTGTACATAAATAAATTTTTATATTTATCTATTATAAGGCAAATTTTGTGTGTATGGTACGAAATCATACTGGCTAAAAGAATTCAAGGTATAATAATAAGTGGTGATCAAATTATCAAGGTGTCCAAATCATTGGTTTACTAAATATTTGCCGTATTTTAACGGCTGGAGGCACTGTAATATTTCATCTAAGGGAAAGGGACACGCCCTTTATAAGTACAATAAATCCTTACATAAACCACCACAGTAAATATGTATATAATTATTTATTTTTGTATATTCTGTATATTATTTTGTTTATTGATTGCAAGACTTTTAATAAAGAAAAATTGGGAAGAATGTCCCTTACATTGGTGGTCAGTGGGAAGAATGTCCCTTACATTGGTGGTCAGTGGGAAGAATGTCCCTTACATTGGTGGTCAGTGGGAAGAATGTCCCTTACATTGGTGGTCAGTGGGAAGAATGTCCCTTACATTGGTCAGTGGGAAGAATGTCCTTACATTGGTCAGTGGGAAGAATGTCCCTTACATTGGTCAGTGGGAAGAATGCCCCTTACATTGGGGGTCAGTGGGAAGAATGCCCCTTACATTGGTGGTCAGTGGGAAGAATGTCCCTTACATTGGTCAGTGGGAAGAATGTCCCTTACATTGGTCAGTGGGAAGAATGTCCCTTACATTGGTCAGTGGGAAGAATGCCCCTTTACATTGGGGGTCAGTGGGAAGAATGCCCCTTACATTGGGGGTCAGTGGGAAGAATGCCCCTTACATTGGGGGTCAGTGGGAAGATTGCCCCTTACATTGGGGGTCAGTGAGAAGAATGCCCCTTACATTGGGGGTCAGTGAGAAGAATGCCCCTTACATTGGGGGTCAGTGGGAAGATTGCCCCTTACATTGGGGGTCAGTGGGAATATTGCCCCTTACATTGATGGTCAGTGAGAACAATGCCCCTTACATTGGGGGTCAGTGGGAAGAATGTCCCTTACATTGGGGGTCAGTGGGAAGAATGTCCCTTACATTGGTGATCAGTGTAAACATTTTCCCTATGCAGCACCCCTACTGGCCAGGAAAGAAGGTAGCTTATCTCCAGTGCAGGGAAAGGACTGACATTACCCCTGGAAGGATCAAATATATTATTTTTATTTTTTGTATATTATTGTCAATGCACAATGGATTCATTTCTTTATTCTCACACAGAGGTTATATTTCAATTAAAATGGAGAAAAAAAATTAAACAAATCAATATTTTGACAGCAGTTGATTATTTATAAGTTGCTGGAACCAAAAAATTTAAAACATTGACTTAAAGTGTTACTAAATCCCGGACCCCACATTCACTATATCCGCTCTCCCTGGACCCCGCACTCGCTATATCCGCTCTCCCTGGACCCTGCACGCGTTATATCTGGTCTCCACGGACCCCACACTCGCTATATCCGCTCTCCCACAGTACACACAACATGGAAATGAAATTATTTTAGTAAATATAAACTGCTAAATACCTTTTCTCATCAGTATATAGCAGTCTTGTGATTTTTATCAGTGTCCAGCAGAGCACTAGTTAATCTTGTCGGAGAAGTCCTGCATGACTCCTGACCCTTTCTCTGGACAGTGCTGATTGGCCCTGTGCTGCTCATATTCACTCTCCCAAAAAAAAACAAAATGCTCTAGCAATACACACTAAACTGAGCATGTGCAAAGTGACTCCTAGAGCTCTGTAATAGTAGCAGATGGATTGGGGACAGTATAAGAAGGGAAGACAGGATCAAACAGCATTTTTACACAATGTGGGGGATTAACCCCTTAGGTTCCACAGTGAGTATAACAAGCCTTCTTTACTGCATATATAGACTGTTTTTACTGTCGTGGGGTTAGTAACACTTTACCACTGATGCACAAGATCATAAAGTGTACAAATGTCTTCCAAGCAGCGATTGGACCAAAGATCGTAACGTCCACTGCTGAAGGATTCTACCGCCTGGTACAAATGTACTAAAATTGTGGCAAAATAATGTGGCCTGGTCTCTCAATGGGATGCGCACACACTGTGCACATGGGAAAGACCACATCAGCAGGAAGGAAATCCCAGCAGTGGCCCTGACAGTTGGATGGTGAAACAAAAAAAAAAAAAAGTGTGTGGGCAGCCAACAACCTCATAGTGTTGGTACCTGGTGTGGCCTGCACCCCCCTAAGTACAGCACTGGTGCAGACAATGGACCTCACCATCGAAGACATTGCTTCTCCTCTGCTTGGACTCCTCCTGTCAGGTTGGGGAGCCCCCAGGTAGCAGGGCCGCACAGTAAAGAATGGATTGGGTCAGTGTGGGCCCTCAGCTTGGTTGAGTATATTCTATGGGCTGCTGTCTCGAGGCACCACCTGTCCCTCGACACATACAGACACTACCTCAAGGGAAGCCCCCCCAAGCCATCTTGGACATGATCTAGAGGAGGTTGTGTCTTACATTTTGGTAATGCTTGAACATACAATTTAATCCCTGCAGGCCTACAACATTTAAACCACTCCTGTAAAACCACCAATATTTGCCCCACCCCCAATATACCATGATGTACTTCAAGGGGATCTATTGGTCCTCAGAAAATATGAGGGTTGTGGGGTGACATATCTTCTGCGGAATGATTTTACCCAGCCTTCCTTATCTGGGGTCTCAATATTTTTATCAGCAGGTGTAGGCACTCTGAAAGACTTCCCGCACTCTGAAACAGCATGTGCCTGCTCGCATTTTCTGGTGTTCATAGTTACATAGTTAGTCTGGCTGACAAAAAAAAAGACAAAAAAGTCCATCCAGTTCAAACATTAAAAAAAAAAAAGCAACGTTTTCTTTCGTAGAAAAACATTTCCCACACACTTAACATGCATTGTCGCCTGTGTGAACTCTCTCGTGTTTAAGAAGATTTCCCTTCTGAGTGAAACCTTTCCCACAGTGTGAACATGAAAATGGATAAACACCCGTGTGTTTTCTCTGGTGTCCTGCAAGGAGTTCTTTCCTAGAGAAACCTTTCCCACACTCTAAACATGAAAAGGGATATTCGCCGGTGTGAGTTCTCTGGTGTGTAAGAAGTACGATTTTCTGAGAGAAACCTTTTCCACACTCCGAACAAACATAGGGACGTTCGCCCGTGTGAATTCTTTGGTGCATAAGAAGGTGTGCTTTCTGAGTGAAACATTTCCCACACTCTAAACAAGGAAAAGGGCGTTCGCCTGTGTGAACTTTTTGGTGCTCGGTAAGAATTCCTTTCCGAGGGAAACATTTCCCGCACTCTGAGCATGAATAAGGACGCTCACCTGTGTGACCTCTCTGGTGTAAAAGAAAGTATGCTCTCTGGGAGAAAGATCTCCCACACTCTGAACAGGAATAGGGGCGCTCAGTCGTGTGAATTTTCCGGTGTCTAAGCAGAGCTTTGTTAGTGAAAGATTTTCCACACACTGGACAGGACACTAAATTCTCTCCTGTGTGAACTCCATCATGGCCTAAAGAAGATTCCATAGGTGAATCTCTTGATCCTTCTGTATTGTGAGATATTAGGTGGACATCTGAAGTCATAGTATGTGATATATCGGAAGATTCCTTGGTTTCAGGGTGATCCAATGATCTTAGCAATTGGTAAGAATTTACTTCTGAAGAAGATTGTTCTTCTGAGGTTTTCCTGGAATGCCCATCTGTGGGAAAGCAATTAAAAAGAAAATGCTATAAGTATAATAAGTATGCAATGGTCAGAGACCCCTGAAGTAGCTCTACTTCCTATAATCCCAAGATTGCTGAAGATGGCGAAAAAAGGCCTCCTACAATTCCTCCTGTCTGCAGGGAGAATGCTGGTTCTTAGACAATACCATTCCAGATATTGAGAAATGGACAATAGGATTTAATATCATCAGGAGAATGAAAGAATTAACCACTTGTATGATCACAACCCAGCCTTTATTGAGACATGGAGAGCATAGATCGATTTCTCCTGTTCCCGTGTTCTTCAACCTTATTTTTTACTTTAACATTCATGGACCCCCCTAATAACGCATGCACTTATAGGCCCACCCTGACTAGACCCCACACATCTTGTCCCTCCTATTGTTTACTACCCTTTTCCATTCTGAAGCACAGAAGAGTGGAGGGAATATTCCCCAACCATATTGAAAACTTTGATTATCAAACCCTATGCCGTAGCATACATCCTCCTCTCTGCATACCTATTGTCAATCTGCAGCCAACACCATTGCACAATGTATTGGTAAGAGGCTGTGGACATGCTACAGAAGCTGGTCAAAGACTGTGGACATGGTACGGAAGATGGTCAAAGACTAAGGACATGCTACGGAAGATGGTCAAAGACTGTGGACTTGGTACAGGAGATGGTCAAAGACTGTGGACATGGTACAGAAGATGGGCAAAGACTGTGGACATGGTACAGGAGATGGGCAAAGACTGTGGACATGGTACAGGAGATGTTCAAAGACTGTGGACATGGTACAGGAGATGTTCAAAGACTGTGGACATGGTACAGGAGATGTTCAAAGACTGTGGACATGGTACAGGAGATGTTCAAAGACTGTGGACATGGTACAGGAGATGTTCAAAGACTGTGGACATGGTACAGGAGATGGTCAAAGACTGTGGACATGGTACAGGAGATGGTCAAAGACTGTGGACTTGGTACAGGAAATGGTCAAAGACTGTGGAGGTGCTACAGATGATGGTCAAAGACGGCGGACGTGCTACAGATGATGTTCAAAGACGGCGGACGTGCTAGAGATGATGTTCAAAGACGGCAGACGTGCTACAGATGATGTTCAAAGACGGCGGACGTGCTACAGATGATGTTCAAAGACGGCGGACGTGCTACAGATGATGGTCAAAGACGGCGGACGTGCTACAGATGATGGTCAAAGACGGCGGACGTGCTACAGATGATGGTCAAAGACGGCGGACGTGCTACAGATGCTACAGATGATGCCAAAGACGGCGGACGTGCTACAGATGATGGTCAAAGACGGCGGACGTGCTACAGATGATGGTCAAAGACGGCGGACGTGCTACAGATGATGGTCAAAGACGGCGGACGTGCTACCGAAGATGCCAAAGACGGCGGACGTGCTACCGAAGATGCCAAAGACGGCGGACGTGCTACCGAAGATGCCAAAGACGGCGGACGTGCTACCGAAGATGCCAAAGACGGCGGACGTGCTACCGAAGATGCCAAAGACGGCGGACGTGCTACCGAGGATGCCAAAGATGGCGGACGTGCTACCGAGGATGCCAAAGACGGTGGACGTGCTACCGAGGATGCCAAAGACTGCGGACGTGCTACCGAAGATGCCAAAGACTGCGGACGTGCTACAGTAGATGGCCAAAGACTGTATTGAGACTGTGAACACACTACAGTTTATAGCCGTAAATGTTTGATATACTTCAGAAGATGGTAAGAGGCTGTGGATGTACTACAGAAGATGGTCAAAGACGGCGGACGTACTACGGAAGATGGTCAAAAATTGCGGACGTACTGCGGAAGATGGTCAAAGACTGCGGACGTACTATGGAAGATGGTTAAAGACTGCCGAAATGCTACAGTGGAATATCAGAGAATGAAAAATCACAGAAAAATAAGTTCAAAAACTTGCCTTCGCAGAAGCCTAAACCATCAGCTGATCCAGAGGAATGCAGAATCCTTTATAAAGCATGGTTCTATTTGCTCCAACAGGGGGCAAACAATTTTCTGATCCACAATATATATTATATAATATACTGTACAGTGGTAAACACACACTTTATAATCATAGAAGTAAAGTTAAAATGTGAACAGTTTCTGCATTTAGTGTTTATGACTTACTTGTGTCCATATGTAGAAAAGATTCCTCCTGTTTACTTTTCATATCCATCTCCCCCTCCTCCATAGACTGCTGATCACCACTCGCCAACCTCTCTTCTTCTTTTTCCTCCACTTTAAGCTCAACTTTGATGTCTTTCAGTTCTTCATCCTGAACGCCAAAGATGATAGAATACATTTATAAAGAGGAACAAGAGATCAAGTTGTAGATCTCTCTCTCATAGATTAGAATACAATTCTACATGTTCAGTCTCACCTACCTGATTCTGGTGAGGGATGGTGTGACCTTTCCGTGTGGAATCCTGGGAATACAGAGGACGGGGACATCTCTCTGGTGGGTTCCCATTACTGGATCCATCTGTAGGAAACACACACACTGACTGAATCCATTGTTTCTATGTGTTTATCAGATGATGGGGGATCTAGGTGGACCCTCCGTACTGCTCTCTCCTTTACAATAAAGTCTCCTCTTACCCGGTGATGTGAGGGGCGGCTGATTGTCTATCATGACATCTTTGTAGAGATCACATTACCTGATAATGTGACAGTCTAGGTCCTCAATCATCAATATCAATATACCAAAACGCTTTCTGCATTACTCACCTGTTTTGATATCTATAGAAGGTTCCTCCTGTTTGGTTGTCAGCAACATCCCATCCTTCTCCATAGACTCCTGATAACTCATCACAGTTGTCTCCTCTTCTTCCTCTTTAACCTCAACTTTCATAAACATCTGTTCTTCATGCTAAACCAACAGAATGATAGAAAACAACATTTAAAATGTGAGCATCAATAGGCTGAAACTATGAAGAATTTCAAACATTCTATGGCATTTAGCATTCTATCCATCTACCTGATGATGGTGGGGGATGGTGTGATCTTCCTGTGTGGAATCCAGAGGACAAGAACATCTCTCTGGTGGGTTCCCATGACTGGATCCATCTGTAGGAAACACACACACTGACTGAATCCATGGTTTCTATGTGTTTATCAGATGATGGGGGATCTAGGTAGAGCCTCCGTACTGCTCTCTCCTTTACAATAAAGTCTCCTCTTACCCGGTGATGTGAGGGGCGGTTGATTGTCCATCATGACATCTTTGTAGAGATCATCTTTCCTGATATGTTGGTCTACAGGTCCTTAATCATCAATATCAGGGGTGGACTGACAACTCATAGGGCCCCCGGGCAATAGGGGATCATGGGGCCCCTGTGTACTTGCCCAAACTCAAAAAAGCCTATGAAAAAGGTACCAGGGGCATCTCATGGGGCCCCCTACTGACCCCGGGCCCTCGAGCAGTGCCCGAGTTTCCAAATGGTCAGTCCGTAGCTGATCAATATACATACCGAAATGCTTTCTGCATTACTCACCCGTTTTGACATCTAAAGAAGGTTGCTCCTGTTTGATTGTCAGCAACATCCCACCCTTCTCCATAGACTCCTGATAACTCATCACAGTTGTCTCCTCTTCTTCCTCTTTAACCTCAACTTTCATATAAATCTGTTCTTCATGCTAAACCAACACAATTGTAGAAAACAACATTTAAAATGTGAGCATCAAAAGGCTGAAACTATGAAGAATTTAAAATAGTCTGTGTGCATTTAGTGTTCTACCCATCTACCTGATCCTGGTGAGGGATGGTGTGATCTTCCGGTGTGGAATCCAGAGGACAGGGACATCTCTCTGGTGGGTTCCCATGACTGGATCCATCTGTAGGAAACACACACACTGACTAAATCCATTGTTTCTGTGTTTATCAGATGATGGGGGATCTAGGTGAACCCTCCGTACTGCTCTCTCTCTTTACAATAAAGTCTCCTCTTACCCGGTGATGTGAGCGGCGGCTGATCCTCCATCATGACGTCCTTGTAGAGATCATCTTTCCTGATAATATGTCGGTCTACAGGTCCTTACTCATCAATATATATACCGATACACTTTCTGCATTACTCACCTGTTTTGACATCTAAAGAAGGTTGCTCCTGTTTGATTGTCAGCAACATCCCATCCTTCTCCATAGACTCCTGATAACTCATCACAGTTATCTCCTCTTCTTCCTCTTTAACCTCAACTTTCATATACATCTGTTCTTCATGCTAAACCAACAGAATGATAGAAAACAACATTTAAAATGTGAGCATCAATAGGCTGAAACTATGAAGAATTTCAAACAGTCTGTGGGCATTTAGCATTCTATCCATCTACCTGATGATGGTTGGGGATGGTGTGATCTTCCTGTGTGGAATCCAGAGGATGGGGACATCTCTCTGGTGGGTTCCCATTACTGGATCCATCTGTAGGAAACACACACACTGACTGAATCCATTGTTTCTATGTGTTTATCAGATGATGGGGGGATCTAGGTGGACCCTCCGTACTGCTGTCTCCTTTACAATAAAGTCTCCTCTTACCCGGTGATGTGAGGGGCAGCTGATTGTCCATCATGACGTCCTTGTAGAGGTCCTTGTGTCCTTCTAAATACTCCCACTCCTCCATGGAGAAATAGACAGTGACACCCTGACACCTTATAGGAACCTGACACACACAATGATTACAGTCACCATCCAGACACATCCCTTGTCTGTTACTGGAGAATGTCCCAGAATTCCCGACACCGCTCACCTCTCCCATCAGCAGATCTTCTGGGTGACTTCTAGAATCTTCTTGGCACTGGTTCCCTCTGTTGTCAGGCAGTGAGGTGGAGGCACTGTGATGGGTGATGTCCTGTGAAGACAGCGGCTGGATGTTAATGGCTCAGTAGATGTTTTTATCTACACCTTATAATGAGAAAGTAACAATTATCACTACAGACTTCCCAGAATCCTGCTGACCTGTCCATTTGGTCAACAGGAGACAAGAAAGAGAGTTAAGCAGCTTAGAACTGCTAGGACTGGTTATTCTGTATTGGTGGTGTAATGCTATCCGGACGCTGGGACTGGTCACTCTGTAGTGAGTCCCTTGTGCTTATCCTCCACCCCCCATCTCTGCACTTCTAGGTCATCACAGAAGGGTTACTGGGCGTAAATATAAAACAATTTCTTACTACCTTCTCTGCTGCCAGTTCCAGGAATATCTCCTCTGTACTTCCTCCTTCAACACTTGCGAAACTTCGTATTTATAATCTGACATCACTTCCTGTTTCACTGACCATGCATGAGCTCCCCACCTTGAGGAGATGATATATATTGCAGCCTACATTGCCACACAGTCCTTTCATCTATTTTACACACACAGATTATAGCTCAGCTATAATGCAGACCAAAAATAGAATAGAAAATAATAATTTGACAGTGTTTTATTATTTAAAATATAAAACTAAAAAATTAAAAACAAAAGGAAAGTTGTAAGGACATTATAACAGAATTTGGAAAATGCCTTCAGTCAGGCTACAAGCCTGGAGGTTGTGGTCTTGCTCCTCCAACCTCTATAGAACAGTCTTAACCTATTTGCCCCAGAGGAACCCTTCATAGCATTTTTAGGTCCCAGGTAATGCCTGCTAAAGTGAAGTCATCAGGGTCCGTGAGAACATTGATGATCAGTGAGAAGAATGTCCCTTACATTGGTGGTCAGTGAGAAGAATGTCCCTTACATTGGGGGTCAGTGAGAAGAATGTCCCTTACATTGATGATCAGTGAGAAGAATGTCCCTTACATTGGTGGTCAGTGGGAAGAATGTCCCTTACATTGGTGGTCAGTGACAAGAATGTCCCTTACATTGGTGGTCAGTGAGAAGAATGCTCCTTACATTGGGGGTTAGTGAGAAGAATGTCCCTTACATTGGTGATCAGTGGGAAGAATGTCCCTTACATTGGGGGTCAGTGGGAAGAATGTACCTTACATTGGTGGTCAATTGGAAGTATGCTCCTTACATTGGTAATCAGTGGGAAGAATGCTCCTTACATTGGGGGTCATTGGGAAGAATGTACCTTACATTGGTGGTCAATTGGAAGTATGCTCCTTACCTTGGTAATCAGTGGGAAGAATGCTCCTTACATTGGGGGTCAGTGGGGAGAATGTCCCTTACATTGGGGGTCAGTGGGAAGAATTTCCCTTACATTGGTAGTCAATTGGAAGTATGCTCCTTACATTGGTAATCAGTGGGAAGAATGTCCCTTACATTGGGGGTCAGTGGGAAGAATGCTCCTTACAATGGTAATCAGTGGGAAGAATGTCCCTTACATTGGTGGTCAATGGGGAGAATGTCCCTTACATTGGGGGTCAGTGGGAAGAATGTCCCTTACATTGGTGGTCAGTGGGAAGAATGCCCCTTACATTGGAGGTCAGTGGGAAGAATGTCCCTTACATTGTTGATCAGTGGGAAGAATGTCCCTTACATTGGTGATCAGTGGGAACAATGTCCATTACATTGGGGGTCAGTGGGAAGAATGTTCCTTACATTGGTGGTCAATGGGAGAAGGAGGAGGACACATTAAAGGATCTCTCCCTGAGAACCAGCAATTTTCAAGCCTGGGCTTTCAAACCATGCTTAATCCAGGAGGAGGCCCTCGGAGGGATCCCCCTGATGACACAGGGCCTAGTGAGGAGGAGGAGGTGGAGGATCTGACTGTGGGTCCAGGCCCTGGTGAGGATCGATAATCTTCTGTGTACAGACAGAAGATTATTGATCAATTCTTGATGATTGGTAGAGCTGAGGAAAGACTTAAAGTTTTGAAAGCGGAGTACAAATCCTTCAGAGTCGAATACTGCCAGGCCTGGAGAAAGAACAGATTGTCCATGAAGCCAGAATTACAGCAAATGGAGGAAAAGGTGAAGAAACAATCTTTATTACTGGAAAAGTTGAAAGCCAGAAGTGAAGCATTTAAAGAAAAGTTTGACAATGAGAGATTTGCCAGCCAAACATTATCGATTTCTGGGGATCAGCAGCCTCAGTTAATGGATGATCCGGATCCATCTACCTCTGCGTCTCTTCCCCCATGTCAGGCTGCGGAGTTGTCAGCAACAACCAGCCAGGGGGTTGAGAGTGAGAATGGAACCCTGACCTTCATCCAGCAGATGGAGTCACCCCGAGGGCAGACAGGTTTGCCTTTTCTGATGACCCTTCAGAAGTCCCTAAGGACGGACAGAGGAGGTACAGACCAGCAAAGCCAGTACTGGTGGAGAAATCCCAGTACACCAAGATGGCTGCTTCCAAGATGTCTGCCCCACTGGCTGTGGTGAGTACTGCTGATGAGAAGGAGCGCTGCAAACAACCTGCTGTGGAAGTATCGTCAGCCAACTTGGAAGGAAAACCCTTGACAAACATATCTCCAGACCATCATGGGAATGTGGATAGACCTGCACCAAAGACCCCAGAGATGAATGTTACTGTTGCTGTTCCTGCCAAGACCAGTAGTCCCTCTACAGGCAAGATGGCTGTCACCTGCAAAGAGTCTGCTTTACCTGAATCTGCATGTGTTCCAGAGCTAATTGATGCTGGTGGGGGAGAGGAGCAGCACACTGCACCCTGTGGAGAGAAAACAACAAACATGGATGTCTGTGATGTTTTACCTTTTGCTGTGTCTAAACAGCATGCACTATCTGTACTGAAAGCTCTGTCCTGGAGGAAGAGATGACAACTGGAGCTGAAGTTTCTATAGTTGCAGCAGTGAGTACGGACATTGCTATGAAGATTATGAATGTGTCAGCAAATAATATGACTGGTGAGACTTTTAAAGCAATGGATGTGCTGGTGGTAGGTGGTGGTGAAGGGGTTAATGTTGCCGGCAAGAGTAAAAATGACATTTCTCAACCTGTTCAGCAAAGAGAGGATTCATCATCCAATCTCAAATTTGAGCAATTGGTATCTGCTAGAGTTGTATCAGATGCATCCAAATACACAAATGTTTCTACTGTTGGGAGGAATGTGGGGAGCTATGCCTCTATTTTGGGGAGTCGCACCAAGGAGGGTGGAGGGAATGTTGGAAATCCTAATGGTCACAATTTGGGGAGGTTTGGTGGTAGGATGGTTGGTGGGTCCAGGAGGTGGAAGGTTGGGCAGTTCAGATGGGAGGGAACACCACCAGTAAGGGAGAGGGTGGCTGAGTTGATTTTGGAGATGGAGTTTAAAGCCTGTGATGTATTTGCTTTGATCTGCCCAGTCGGCAGTTATGAATACAATTTATCGTTTGTGAAACCTGAAGGTCTGGATCGTTTTTGGGAGAGACATAGGAGGTGCAGGAGCCTTCAGCAGTAGAGAGGTTTGGTGGCAAAGGTGGTTTCAAGGCAGCTTTCGATAAAATCAGTGACAATCCTGGTCCGGAATGAATCCATACCAGAGGCTGATTTGGTAGTGTGGCTACACCAATATGGCGAGGTCCTCACCCTACTGCGGAAGGTCCTTGATGAGCCTGGGCTATGGACAGGGGCCTGGACAGTGTCGCTGCAATTGAGGGTGCTGGGCAATGTGGTTCAGTAACTGCCTGCTTAGCATTTCTGGGAAGGGATAGGATGACCATTTTCTATCAAGGTCAGCCTAAGGTTTGTAATAAATGTGGAGAGAAAGGTCACTTTGCATCCTCCTGTACCATCAAGAAAATGCTCACTGTGCCAGGATTTAGGCCATTTGGCCAAATAATGCACCCAGATTCGTATAATCAGTGCCCAGAGGCACTACATAACCTGCCAGGATTGGAGGCTGAGCTGCAGAAGCTGGATAAAGAAGATGAGGCAGCTGATGCTATGGAGGAAACTGTTGTTGCCCCTCCTGTGTCTGTTCCCTCTGTTGTGTCAGATTCGGTTTCCCCTAGTAATGTCATCCCTGAGTCTGTCCCTCCTCTTCCTAATCCTACGGTATGTAGATCCTCCAGACTAGTGGAAGCTGCTGTGGTGGCGGGTTTAGCAGATCTTCCCTCTCGATCTACTACACCTCCGGTACCTGTCTGATAGCGCAAACGTGGTCAGGAGATTGTGGGGGTGCTGGCTAGGGGTGGAGACAATGGGGCTCAGAGAGGGGTGTCCATGTCCCATCTCCTGCTGGGGGGGATTCGGCTGATGAGGGGTGGGAGAGGGTTAAGAGGAAGAAGAAGAAGAGGAGGATGAGAAGAGCTCTCCTTTCTTCAGAATCAGACCCAGGAGGGGTGCCTCTTGGCAACACCTATTCAGTTTTGTCAGGTGATGAGATGGTATCTGATTTATCCATTTCTTTATCATCTATGGATGAGGGGGAGTCACATACTCTGAAGAGATCTGTTTCGGGTGATGAGAGTGTGGTAGAGGTTAAGAAACAACTACCCCAATCATCTTGATGGCAGTTCCCGCTCCGTTAAGGTGGTGACCATTAATGTCGCCAGCATTAAATCTGCAAGAGCTCGTGATACGGCCTTATTTTTGCTCAGCGAGTTTGATGCTGAGATTTTATTTTTGCAAGAGACCTGGCTCAATGCTTTGGCCAAAGTCCACCTAGCAAAAAGGTAGTGGAGATGTAGTCCCTCCTTTTGGTCTCTTGCGGCTGAGCCTTGCAGCGGAGTTGCGGTCCTTTTTAAAACCGATATGGTAACGTGTCGGTGGGTAATTGAGGTAGAAATGGGGAGATGCATGGTCATTGACGTCTCTGTTAGGGGGCAGGACCTGCGCCTGATCAATATCTACAGACCACAGTCAAAATGCCTTTGAAGGTCATGGTCTATGCTGATGATGTGTCTGTTATTATCTCTGGGACTGAGGAGGTGCAGGAGGTGGTCTCTGTGATGGTGCAGTACACGGAGGCTTCTGGCTCTAAAGTCAACCATGAAAAGAGTGAAGTTTTCTCGATGGGTGAGGAGGGTGAAAGCTTCAAACTTCCGGATGCCTTCCCGGAGCCCCAGCAGGAAATCAAAGTGTTGGGCATCAAATTTGGTCGTGGTGACTATGGTCATCGAAATTGGGAAAGCAGGTTGGTAGATGCCAATGCCAAAGTAGCAAGCTGGAAGAGATGGAGGCTTTCCTTGAGGGAGAGGGTTGACTTGATCCAAACGTACCTGATCTCGATCTTTGTATATGTCCGCTTTGTCTGTATCTTGCTGGTATCTCTCTATGCAAAGGTCTGCAGCTGTTTTTTTCCAACTGTTTTGCTGAAATAGGCTGAACCTGATCAAACGCAGTGTAACATACCTGTCCAGGTGGCCTAGGAATGGTCAACCCAATTTAGTTTTCTTTTCTTTGCTCTTTTTAACCACCTTCCGCCCACCCTATAGTACAATGACGGGCGCAAGGTGGTTCTCTCGTTCTGATAGGACGTCATATGACGTCCTACCATTCTCACTGAGCATGCGCGGCTCAGGGAGCACGCAGCGCGGCGATCGCCTGTGCGCTGTGTCCCTAGGACACAGCGGATCATGGAAAGAGCCGAAGATGTCGGCTCGGTCATGTGATCAGCTGTGTCCAATTACAGCTGATCACATGTAAACACGGAAATGCCATTTATCGGCATTTCTCTCCTCTCAAGCTGTCACGCTGACAGCTCGAGAGGAGAGGAGAGCCGGTAATCTGCTTTCCGCGGAGGGGACATGTACACTGATCTTCAGGGCACTGATGATCAGTGTGCCCTGATGATCAGTGTAGCCCCAGAAGTGCCACCTGTCAGTGCCCATCAGTGCCACGTGCCAGTGCCCATCAGTGCCACATCAATGCCACATACCAGTGCACATCAATGCCACATATCAGTGCCCATCTGAGCTGCCTTTCAATGTCACCCATCAGTTCCAGTCAGTGCCACCTATCAGTGCTGTCAATCAGTGCCACCTATCAGTGCCAGTCAGTGTGGCCTATCAGTGCGCATCAATGCCAGTCAGTGCCGCCTATTAGTGCCAGCCAGTGCCGCCTATCAGTGCCAATATCAGTGTAATGTATCAGTGCTGCCTTTCAGTGCCCATCAGTGATGCCTGTCAATGCCCATCAATGCAACCTACCAGTGCCTCCTCATCAGTGCCCATCATTGCCACCTATCAGTGTCCATCAGTGCAGCCTATCATTGCCCATCACTGCAGCCTCATTAGCGCACATCAGTGAAGGAGAAAAATCACTTATTTACAAAATTGTATAACATAAACTAAGAAAAAACTTTTTTTTTTAATTTTTTTTAGTGGTTTTTGGTTTGTTTAAGAAAAAATTAAAATCCCAGAGGTGATTAAATACCACCAAAAGAAAGCTCTATCTGTCTCAAAAAAATGATAAAAATTTCATATGGGTACAGTGTTGCATGACCACGCAATTGTCATTCAAAGTGTGACAGTGCTGAAAGCTGGAAATTGGCCTGGGCAGGAAGGGGGTATAAGTGCCCTGTAGGCAAGTGGTTAAAGTACAATCTTGGTAATATGTTAGCAGAGACCCCGCCGGGATGGGTGAATATTTTTCAGTCTTGGTTTAGGCCTTTTCTGCGTTGCTGGGAAGATGGCGGGCCAGTGAAAAGTCTGAGAGTCCGACATGGCAAGCTCCCGGCTTATGTTGCCCGTGTATGTCCATCTCTGGGTGAGGGTCTCGTATATAATTATTTATTTATGTATATTCTGTATATGTTTTTATGTTTATTGATTGCAAGATTTTTATTAAAGAAAAATTGGGAAGAATGTCCCTTACATTGGTGATCAGTGGGAAGATTGTCCCTTACATTGGGGGTCAGTGGGAAGAATGTCCCTTACATTGGTGGTCAGTGGGAAGAACACATTGGTGGTCAGTGGGAAGAATGTCCCTTACATTGGGGGTCAGTGGGAAGAATGTCCCTTACATTGGGGGTCAGTGGGAAGAATGTCCCTTACATTGGAGGTCAGTGGGAAGAATGTCCCTTACATTGGGGGTCAGTGGGAAGAATGTCCCTTACATTGATGATCAGTGGGAAGAATGTCCCTTACATTGTGGTGGGAAGAATGTCCCTTACATTGGGGATCAGTGGGAAGAATGTCCCTTACATTGGGGGTCAGTGGGAAGAATGTCCCTTACATTGGGGGTCAGTGGGAAGAATGTCCCTTACATTGGGGGTCAGTGGGAAGAATGCCCCTTACATTGGGGTCAGTGGGAAGAATGTCCCTTACATTGGTGCAGGGAAAGGTCTGACATTACCCTTGGAAGGATCCATTATATATACAGTGGGGCAAAAAAGTATTTAGTCAGCCACCAATTGTGCAAGTTCTCCCATTTAAAAAGATGAGAGAGGCCTGTAATTGGCATTATATGTAGACCTCAACTATGAGAGACAAAATGAGAAACAAAAAACCAGACAATCACATTGGCTGATTTGGAAAGAATTTATTTGCAAATTATGGTGGAAAATAAGTATTTGGTCACCTACAAACAAGAACTCCGGCACTGCCCGAGGGCCCGGGGTCACTAGGGGGCCCCATGAGATGCCCCTGGTACCTTTTTCATAGGCTTTTTTGAGTTTGGGTAAGGACACAGGGGCCCCTATTGCCCGGGGGCCCCATGAGTTGTTTGTCCGCCCCTGCCCCCAGCCCTGCTTGGACATGATCTAGAGGAGGTTGTGCCTTACATTTTGGTAATACTTGAACCAGGGGCAGACTGACAACTCATGGGGCCCCAGGGCAATAGGGGATCATGGGGCCCCTGTGTCCTTGCCCAAACAAGCCTATGAAAAAGGTACCAGGGGCATCTCAGGGGCCCCCTACTGACCCCGGGACCTCGGGCAGTGCCCGAATGTCCAAATGGTCAGTCCGCCCCTGGCTTGAACATACAATTTAATCCCTGCAGGCCTAGAAGACTTTTAAACCACTCCTGTAAAGCCACCAATATTTGCCCCACCCCCAATATACCATGATGTACATCAATGGGATCTATTGGCCCTCAGAAAATATGAGGCTTGTGGGGTGACATATCTTCTCTGGAATGATTTTACCCAGCCTTCTTTATCTGGGGTCTCAATATTTTTGTTAGCAGCATCAGCAGGTGTGGGTACTCTGATGTCTAGTTAGACTTCCTTTAAGAGTAAAACATTTTCCGCACTCTGAACAGGAAAAAAGGCCCTTGCCCTTGTGAATTCTCTGGTGTCCATGAAGGCTTTTTTTCTTAGTGAAAAACTTCCCGCACTCTAAACACGGGAAACGGCACGCGCCTGCTTGGATTTTCTGCTGTTCAGCAAGGTTTTCTTTGGTAGAGAAACATTTCCCACACTCTGAACACAAAAAAGGATTTTCCCCTGTGTGAAGTCTCTGGTGTTTACGGAGATTTCCCTTCTGAGTGAAACCTTTCCCGCAGTCTGAACATGAAAATGGACGTTCACCCGTGTGTTTTTTTCTGGTGTCCGACAAGGTTTTCTTTCCTAGAGAAACCTTTCCCGCACTCTGAACACGAAAAGAGATATTTGCCGGTGTGAGTTCTCTGGTGTGTAAGAAGTACGATTTTCTGAGAGAAACATTTTCCGCACTCTGAACAAAAATAAGGACGTTCACCCCCGTGAATTCTCTGGTGTATAAGAAGGTGTGCTTTCTGGGTGAAGCTTTTCCCGCACTCTAAACAAGGGAAAGGGCGCTCGCCTGTGTGACTTTTCTGGTGATCGATAAGAAATCCTTTCCGAGTGAAACGTTTCCCGCACTCTGAGCATGAATAAGGACACCCAGCTGCGTGACTTGTCTGGTGTCTAATTAGTGCTTTGTTGTAAATGAAGGATTTCCCGCACACTGAACAGGACAATGAACTTTTGCCTGTGTGAACCCCTTCATGGCTAAAAGAAGCATCCTCTGGCGGATCTGTTGATCTATCCTCATGGTGAGAACTTCGATGAACATCCGGAGTCATGCTTTGTATATTATCAGGAGCTTCTTCAGGATTAGAGGGACCCATCAATCTTTCCAGCCGGTAGCCATTTACTACCGAAGAACACGGTGCAATGCCAGTATCTTTTGCATTCAATTCTGGAGATACATTGAGGTTCCCTTCCCTGGTACTTGTATTGCGAACACAGCGGCCATCTGATGAAAAAAAAATTTTTAAATAAATGCGATCAGCAAGTTTCATGTGTTGTCAAAGCATTCACAATCCAAGGTCATTAACCGCTTGCCCTCCACCCTATAGCGGACATACTGCAACAGGGCAGCAGGGATGCACAAAATCCCGTATATCCACGCACAGCCCTGCCCGCGCCGCTATTGGTGGGTAGAGATGTCAATCTCTGGGTCCAGGCCGGCACTCGGTGATCGAAAGCTGACAGGGGTGAAGTCTGTATTTGAACAACCCAGGTCTCTCCCATCAGCAAGGACATGCTGCTTTGTATCTCTGCACACAGCAGCATGTCTCCATAGTAAAACACACAGCACACAGTTAACCCTTTGATTGTCCCACATGTTAACCCCTTCCTGCCCAGTGCCAGTGCCCCCAGAAGTTAACCCCTTCCTGCCCAGTGCCATTAACACAGCGTCAGTGCCCTCGGATCTTAGCCCCTTCCTGCCCAGTGCTATTAGTACAGTGTCAGTGCCCCCAGAAGTTAAACCCTTCCTGCCCAGTGTCATTTGTACAGCGTCGGTGCCCCCAGATGTTAACTTCTTCCTGCCCAGTGCCATTAGTACAGTGTCAGTGCCCCCCGGATGTTAACCCCTTCCTGCCCAGTGTCATCTGTACAGTGTCGGTGCCCCCGGATGTTAACCCCTTCCTGCCCAGTGCAATTAGTACAGTGTCGGTGCCCCCAGATGTTAACCCCTTCCTGCCCAGTGCCATTAGCACAGTGTCGGTGCCCCCAGATGTTAACCCCTTCCTGCCCAGTGCCATTAGTACAGTGGTCGGTGCTTTTTATTAGCACTGATCACTGTATTTGGTGTCACTGGGGATGTCAGTCGCAGTTAGTCAGTCCCCCCCCCCCGTGTCAGAATGCCTTCCGCTGTCCCACTATAAACCGCTGATTACCTCTTCTACTAGTATAAAAAATAATTTAAAAAAAAAATTCCAGTATCTATACCGCCATTTGTAGAAGCTATAACTTTCAGCCCTCATGCACACGGGACGTGTTGATAATGCTGGTGACATTAGCTGTGTAAAGTCATTTTAAAAACCTGAGTTTTTCAGTTTTTTTATTTTGCATTAGCGTTTAGCAGCGTTTTCCCGTGTTTGCAGTTTTTAGTGTTTTTTTATTACCAAAAAAAATTGGGGGTGTAAAAAAAAAACATCCAAAAACGCCAGTTTGCACGTTTTACAGAGTGTTAGAGCGTTTTTACAGGTAAGCCCTTGGTATTGCTGGCAGTGGCCATCTCCAGTAAGGGCAAATGATTCATGTAGCATTTACTTCCTGGAACCCATCTGCTCTTAGCTCAGCCCTTGGTATTGCTGATAGTGGCCATCTCCAGTAAGGGCAAATGATTCATGTAGCATTTACTTCCCGGAACCCACCTGCTCTTAGCTCAACCCTTGGTATTGCTGGCAGTGGCCATCTCAAGTAAGGGCAAATGATTCATGTAGCATTTACTTCCCAGAACCCATCTGCTCTTAGCTCAGGCATTGGCTGGCCTGAGAACCCTTCCCCCCACCCCCCCTATCCTGAAGATTCCTAGGATGTATTACATCATTTGCCTAGGCACTGAAACCAGGAAGTAAATGAAGAAATATATATACTGTATATAAAAAAAAATTAAATAAGTAAATATGATATACTTTTCTATCTATCTACTAGTGCCAGCAGCATACGGATTTAGAATAGTCCATGTTGAGTGAGAAAGCGAAGTTCCACTTTAACCCATTGGGGTTAACCGTGTGCTTAGGAAGTGTTAATGTGTGCTGATCTTATAAGAGTTCTTATTGTTTTTTTCCCCTGCTTAGCAGGGACAGAAAAAACAAGATCGCCTGTCACTACACAGAGCCCTGTCCATGAAGCACTGAGCCGATCCTTGGGTCTCGGCGGTCAATCATTAGCCGGGACCTGCTGACCGCCCTGTGCTGTAACAAACCACAGCAGAGCCTGGTCATTGGGAACGTACCCTAACCGGAAGTGCTAATCACGTACTAGGCACGTGATCCAAGGCAGAAAAGCAGCTCTGCCGCCATATATGTAAGTTATGTGGTCGGCAAGCGGTCATTCATTGTATGAAATGTTATAGAAAACTATAACTATGCCACATTAAATGGATAGAGACATTGCTACTAAAGCTGCAACAAATGTGGTTGGAGACCGAGGACATGTCACAGGAGACATTCATGGATTGGGTACAAACATAGACTTATATTACAGTTCTTCATTTGATATTTTTTCTTTCAGTAAGTCAATTAAAAAAGGTCACCGAAAAAAGGAATATATTCAGGAAATGAGTGGAAAGGAAAAAGAAAGATAGAGAGTGTAAAAAAACAATGGAGGAGCATTCAACTGGAGGGTGTCACCAAGAATCCAATCTTGGACAGCTCTGGATACTGGCCATGTAGCCAGAGTGCATTTAGTGTTTATCACTTACTTGTGTCCATATGTAGAGAAGACTCCTCCAGTTTACTTTTCATATCCATCTCCCCCTCCTCCACAGACTGCTGATCACCACTCACCAACATCTCTTCTTCTTCCTCTTTAACCTCAATTTTGATGTCTTCCAGGTCTTCAACCTAAACCCCAAAGATGATGGAATACATTCATAAAAAGGAACAAGAGAATACAAAGAAGAATGTCCTCGCGTAGTCTAAGGTCTACATGCTCAGTCCCACCTACCTGATGATGGTGAGGGATGGTGTGACTTTCCTGTGTGGAATCCCAGGAATACAGAAGGCAGGGGACATCTCTCTGGTGGGTTTGTGTCACTGAATGGCTTCATGATGATCTCCTTGAAGGGGTCTTTGTGTCCTTCTGTGTAAACTCATCCATCTCACCAACCTCATCATCCTCATTTTTTATCTCTTCTTTGACCTTATGTGAGATGATGTGACCTTCCTGTGTGGAATCCCAGGAATACAGAAGATGGGGACATCTCTCTGGTGGGTTCCCATTACATGACCCATCTGCCCGATGATGGTGGGGGATGGTGTGACCTTCCTGTGTGGAATCCCGGGAATAGA